GTCTATTTTATAGTGTAGGGGGCGGGGCTTCGGATTCTAGAGAGCATTTGATTGGACAGAAAGTTTGATGAGAAGCTGAAGTACGATGTGACGTCAAAAAAAAAAATAAAATCGTTGAGCCGTTTTGGCGGAAGTGACGAACTGCACGCTTTGAACGCTTATATCTTATAATGCTAATTTTGTCACTGTTTTGGAGCACACTGCCTTATAGATAACCTTAAGACTAACATATTGATACTAACACCCACAAAACTTTAATTTTGATTTCATGGGGACTTCTTAATGTCCTTAATGTCGATCATGGATCAAATCGATCCACCTTGGCAAACAGCGAATAGCTGTTTAATACATTTTCTGTATTTTCTGTCACGGCGCGGTACAGAAAACACACCGTGTAAACAAGGGGTCTGGGTCCAAATGCAGGAAGGGAATCTGATGCAATACGGCCACGTAGAGCTTGCATCAGTCCCGTAACAACACTTAATAATCCACCCAGAGAGGCGTGGGGAAGGCGTATAAATAGCCCTCAGGATGGGCAACAGCTGTGTGTGTGTGAGTGTGTGCACAGGTGTGTGGAGTCAAGGTAACGGAGTCCGGGAGGATGGGAAGTGGCGACCTCTGGTGGTGAGAAGGAGAACACCAGACCCAGACCCCTGACATTTTCCTTAGTGCATAACTGCCATGTCACAGTTGTATTCTTCATCTGTAAATGTTAGAAAGTCATGCAAACATATCCATTTTGCTGTCAGGAGTGGGTGAGGCTGACGCGAGTGAACGAGCGCTGCTGCGCGCATGCGCACTAAACAGACTGAGCGCAATCGAATAGGAGCGCAATAAAAGCAATGAATACGGAGCCATCATCTACTCACCTTCGCACCAGTGAACAAAATGTCTGTTTAATGTCCAAAACTGTAGTCTGACTGAAGAAGACTAACATGAAATGCTGTTATGCTGCTATTTTTGTTCTTAACAGTATAAATCAGCATTCAGTTTCCTTATGTTACGGACGGAAGGATACGAGAAGGCAGGGTCGGATCCAAGTGCAGCTTTATTGTGACAGCGAAGTCGAACACAGGCAAAAGGTAAACACAGGAACAGACTAGACTTAGACTAAGGCTCAGGAAACACTCTGCACGGAGCAGTCGCAACCAGACAGACAATCATAAACTTATTGCTGGGCTTAGTCTGACAGTTAGCCTGCTTTAGACCAGGTTAGTTTCCCAGCATAAGTTGCCACAGTGACTAGCTTGATAGACCTATGTTAAATTTGCTTTATGGAACCAAATAATTTGACAATTAGTCAGACTAACTGAAATAAGCCTTATGAAACAGGCCTCGAGGCATTAAAAGTGATCATATTTTTTCCATTGCATCATATTGCATCGAATCGCATTGTGTTGAATCAAATCGAATTGAAATCGGATCGCACTGCATCGTAACAGGGGTGAATTGTATCGCATCGGTAGCTGCTTCATATCTTTAATGTATCGTATCGTTGGCTATGCATCGAGATCGAGATGCGTATCGTATCGGCCTCAGTCATGGAGATGCACATCCCTACTGCGTAGGGACCCTGTGAATTTGCAACGCAGTCTATAAAATATCAAATGACCAATCAGAATCTAAGAAGTCGGTGATAATGTGTTTAATTTACGTTTCATGTTATTAAGCTAATGTTTGGTGTTATTTTATTGTTATATTTTTGTTAGCTTAGTGGTCATTGTTTGACAACAATGCCAGTTTAATTAATATGGTCTTCTAGTTTACTATTAATAATAGTTAAAGTATTGTTATGGGTCTGGTTATCAGTATTTTTCTATTACAGATTTTAGTAGGTGAAGTAGGTTTGTATATACATTGTGTCATTAATTCATTAGTCATGTATTGATTGATTGATTCATTTTAAAATATGCAATATAGTAAAGGTAGGCTACCAAAATACCAGGATTGAAGAGGACTTTTACGGTGTAGCTTAGAAGTGTTTGTGACAAATTCAAATCAAGTTACAAAGCTTTGCCAGATTTGTCTCCTCACTATATTCCTCATGTCTTCAGGTGTATGCGATCTTGGTGAGCCACCCACCCCAGTCCAACGACCATCTGACTCCCACTCCAGTGTCCTACACAGCTGGTTTTTACCGTATCCCTGTAGTGGGCCTCACCACCCGCATGTCCATCTACTCTGATAAGGTGAGTGTGGGAGACCACCGGCAGCTGGTTTATGACTCACTATATTTCAGACAGAAATTCTACTTGCGCTTCACTGCAGATGTCATCTGTCCTTTTCTTCAGTCACATTTTAAATATGGTTGACTTGGAGTTTTGAAGTGTGAAAACCTTTTCTGCAGGATATAGTGTAGCGAAGCCCTGAAAATATGTTTTTACATGATGGCATTCTAATTATTAGCAGAATAATTTGATAAATGTTTATTCGTTTTCAGTTTAGTATTAATCTACCTTTAATTAAAAACGTTCATAAATACTGCATATAGCATTATGACCGATTGACTCTTTTAGATTCACTTATACTTTGCCTTATGGCATCTTTGGCACTCTAAGAAGTGATGTTTGGATCCGTCTCTAAATTAATTACAGTTAAAGTGATTAAATTCTAATGAACTGAAATTGCCTCGGGCCTTTGAGATTCACTAGTTCTTTCCCCCCAACCGTCCATCTAGAGCATCCACCTCTCCTTCCTGCGCACGGTGCCACCCTATTCCCACCAAGCCCAAGTGTGGTTTGACATGATGCGTGAGTTCCAGTGGAATCACATCATCCTGATTGTGAGTGATGACCACGAGGGCAGAGCAGCACAAAAAAGACTAGAAACCCTGCTGGAGGAGAGGGAGACGAAGGTGAGATGCGTGGACTGCCGACTCACATGGCCCAGCATGTAAATGAGCGTGCGTGTGTAAGTCAGCGTGTGTTCCTGTAATCAAAATCTCAGAGGTCCTCTATATATGTTAAACGTTTCCTTTTTTTCTGTTGTGTAAACACATTTCTTTCCATTGGCTAACATTATTTATGCCAGAGGCATCAGCAGCGTCTTAAGTGGTTTATCTGCAGAACTTTGTACTTTTCTATTCATCTCACATTGCTTTTTACCATAGTCAGATTCTCCTATTTGTCTATCCACAACAGGAGCAAAATGAGGGACTTAGCCTGGGGCTGTGCAAAAAATCAACGGCAAGAGAATTTGGTTGCTTTGAGTTTCTGTGATTCAGCGCCCAGCAACAGACAAAGACTGACTTATTGAGTGTTCTCTGTGTGCAGCTTTGCGCTGTTCAATATTGCACATTATGTAAGAAAGTATTTCACAACAAATGTGAAGATAAAGGCAGTTACGCACCATGTGAGCATTAAACCTCTTCAACTTTTGCATTTGTACAGATATGTCTGATTATAGTGAAAGGTTACATATGCATTGTCTAAATTAGAACAGAATAATGATCTGTAATTCAGTAAAAAGAGACATTTCTTTGGGACCTGAATCCATTAGCATGGCACTGTATTTTTTAGGACACCTGCAATGTCACTGCAATGTCATTTTCAGTAATGGCAGCCCCAAGGCCAGCTGTTTTTATATGCACATTCTCAGATTGGTTTGGGAGTCAGTAGAAGGGCTCATTAAAGTCTTTTGGTTGTGTCTGTTATTACAACAAAACTTTGCCTGCACGTTGTCCACACGGTTGGATAGCTGCATATTAAAGCTGCATATTAAGCCATTATGATAGACAAGAAAAACAACAGTTTTTCTCAGTCCGTTGTGAGTTTAGGGGGCAAACAGGCTTTTAACTCTTCATTTCCATCAGTAGAAATGTCTGCTTATATATATATATATATATATATACACACACACACACACACACACACATACAGTACATGCATTCATACATGCATTCATATATACATACATACACTCAATTAATTACTCAAAAAAAAATCTCACAAATCTGGCTGAGAATATGTTCAGCTGCTGAAGCCTGATACAGTCAGGCACAAAAATCTTACAAATACAAACATGTATTACAGTTTTTCTGAATTGCTAAAATCCATTTCTTGAAACCATCACTAATTTTCTCAAAACCTTAAACACAAATCCAAATACTTAAACTAAATTCACGAAACCTCTGACGCTTCCATCAAAATCAAACAATCACTGCAAAACCATTTCACTGCAAACCAAATCAAACGGTGCTCTCAGATCACACACACACATGAGTCAATAAAATAAACACTTCAGAGCATTCATTAGACACTACAGAGAAAAATGGAGAACACAGCATCCAGAACATTACAAAAAAAGGTATATTATATTGAGTAAACAATTTTGCTATTTTATAAAAATATAGTAATTGCAACTGAGTAAGGTGAATATATTGTATAGGCCTACTGTATGTGCTGCAAGAATAGTATTGTGATGAATATAGTACTGAATGTTTGTATATATTCAGCGCTTGGATACTGCAAAATTACTGCAGTCCAACTGCAAAGGCCCAAAAGCTCAAATACTGTAAAACTCTAAATGAATAGCATGTTACAGTACTCTCAAATACTGTAAGTTGTGCAATTGTAAAATCAGGGTCAATGAGAGATTCATTCTGTCTCAGCATCATATCTTTGTGCTTGAGTCCGGCCTGGGTACTTTGTACACATCACAAGTAATGCTGTCTTTTTTGCTAGACAAAGAGAAAAAACCCACTGGTCTGACAGATCCAGCCTTGATAACACTCTCTAAACCTTACTCTTTCCCTCCTCATCCTCCACTTCTTACATGTTCTCTTCCTCCTCTCCTTCTCAGATTGTGTCCATCTATTGTTCGTATCATCATTCAGTCACCTGTGCCACTTGTGCACTCTGAACTGGCT